TTAAGAAGGTTTTCCTTCAGTCCTGCATGAAAGGCCAGGGCTGGGGGACCAGAGCCTCCTTGGATAGCATGAAGGCTTGGCAAGGCCCTCGGGGGTCACAGATGGGAGGAGGAGCTCCCCTCATTGGCTTTGGCTCATGGGGTGAGGAAGGAAGAGGAGGAGGCCCTGGTTAGCTGGTCACCTTAATACCTGCAAACCTGGATCACTGTCTCCAACCTTCAAATGAATCCCTGAGTGGGGGGGGGTCATCCCATCTGTTGGCTGGAGCAAAGCCTGATGGAGCCCCCTGCAGGAAGCTGGGCTGGACTTTGACCACCTTTGGCCTGTGGTCAGGTTGGTGTGGGGAGAGTCTCTCCTGGCCCAACACCTCATCACCCTCTCTCTGAAACAGAGCAAAGGTGGAATTGGTTCTCCTTCTCCCTTTGTGCCTGCCTCCTTCTGAAATGCCTTGTGAATAGACGGTCCTCTGTCATCAGTCCTAAACCAGCCTAGCCCCATTTTCCTGGGAATCCCTGTGTTCCATGTACTGATTCCTTTGTAATACTCCAGGGATAGTTGACCCAGATCACCATGCCTCTGCATCTTGGTAGACAGTTTTATGAGTTCTTGGGGCCTAAATAGTTCATCAATCTGGGCCCTCCCTCCAGTTGGACTCCTGAATGAGCTGGGCTGGGTCTTAGTGAGCACACACAAAGTCCATGGCCAGGCCTAGGGCTTGAAGGTCTTCCGTCTTGGTCAGTAGGGCCCACTAGAGCTTAAGGTCAGCTCACTGGGAGAACCTTCAAGAATCCAGGGTCTTCACCACAATGAGGTCATATCATCAACACAGAGTATGGGCTTTGGAATAAAGACATCCAAGGAGGCACTCCCCGAAGTGGCCCTGTTCCAATTTCTTCTTCTTGAGCCTGAAAAAAGTTTTTCCAAGCTTTTGAGATGTGTGTGGTCAGGGTCCAGGGTCCACAGACCACCAGGAGACCATGAAGACATCACCTTGTACCTCAGCATGGCTCCTCGGCAGGGCTCCAGGGGGGTCAAAGTTGTGGAAGGCTGGGAGAGACCCCGGGCTCCACAGAGCTCAAGCTACTCCCCCTGCCCTTTCGTGGGGGAATCCAAGAAGGGCATCTCAGGACAGACAGGACGGGTCTGCTTGGGAAGCGGGTAGGAGGAGCTGTCCAGCTCACCCCTAACTCACCCTCTCAGCTCACTCAGAGCAGCCCCCAGCCTTCAGCCCCTTGCGGACCTCAGACTCACCGGCTCAGCCCGGTCAGCAGGAGCTAGCCTTCCCCTCGCTTGTGGTTGCTTGTCGGTCCTGGTTCTCAGGGATTCATCAGCTGGGTGTCCTGGAGGGCAGGGTTGGGGATGTGTCTTTCTCTAGATCCTGGTGTCAGATATGGTGTGGTAGATACATAATAAAGGATATATCCGGAATGAAGTCACTTGGATTCATTTTGGGGTTGGATTTCACATGTGCAAATATACCTCTGACCAGGGGCTAAGGTGTATGTGTGTGTGTGTGTGTGACCCAGAAGGACAGTCTATGACTCCTTGGAGAAACAGACCTGGGGGGGGGGGGGGTGGTCAGACAGAGGCCAGGAGGCCTGGCGGATCTTCAGAGAATGTAGGTTCTGGGAGAGGTCCCCATTTTACAGATGAGGAAATTGAGGCAGAGACAGGTGGAGAGACCAAGGCTCACAGCACTATCCTCTGGCTTCCCAGGCCACCACTTTCTACCACGTCCTAGAGATCCAACACCAGAAAGAGGCACCTGCATTTTCTCCACATGGCCAGCCCTGCTTAGGGACAGGCGGGAGTAAGGGAAGGGAATAAGTGTTTCTCTAACACTGTGCTAAACAGTTTACACTTATGATCTCATTTCATTTTCACAACAACCCTGTGAGTGAGGTAGGTGCTGCTATTATTCTGTGCTGTGTCTGAGGCTGCATTCCTGACTGCAGGCCCAGAGCTCTGCCCACTGTACCACCCGGTTGCTTTTAATGAGATGGCCTCTGAAGTCGCTTCTGTCCCAGAAGGGCTGAGGTTCCATGACTCTGGTTCTGAGCCACAGAGTCCAGGAGGGGAAAACAGGACATGCAGCCCAGGTAAAGCACAGAGAAGGCTCACGTTTCTGCACTTAATGAAAAGCACTAAAGAGAAGTTCAGCAGTGGCAGGGCTCTGCCCCTAGAAACGGCCCCCTTTGCTGGGCTCTGCCCCTAG